TGAGGGCACGTTTTGAAGTTTCAAAAGCCCATGCCATCACCAGTTGTCAGTGGCCATGTTGAAGGAGCTGCAGTTGGCAATGGAGATTATGGGGTACATCCCTCAGGCTAGCACAACTGCGATGAGTGTACCCTGGAGAGGCAAAGCCCCCCTGGGGAGTGTCTTCAGAATGCCTTTTGCTTCTGCTGGGCCTTTTCCTGCTTACTATTGTCATGTATTACTGTATTTGGCCTGTGTGATTGTTGAATCCTACTGTACTATAGTGTGATTGGTTCATAGGAAAATCCCACTCCTCACTGGGCAATTTACTTGCAGATTATAATGATGATTTTTATAGAGCTCTGAGTTAGATCAATGATTTAAAGATTATATGTTGTTAAGACAGCTAGAAGATTAGGGAAATGGTTTGATTTAAAGATGCATGTGGTTAAGAAAGTTAGTGGAGATGATATGGGAAATGAGTTAGGTTGCTCTGCCAATTACTACAACGAGAGATTAAAAAAAAGACAAAAATAAGATTAAAAGACACCTTCCTTTTTGCTAGATGTGAGACTTGAAGAGGATGAAAATGAAGACAAGGAAGTTTCATGTATTATAGACATGTGAGTCTTGCCTGTGGAAAAACTGGCTGAACAATGGATGCAATTGTGTCACTATATCCAAGGGTAGGTCTGAGTCCATTAGTCATGTAGTTTACAGATTTAATCAGAGGTTTCAGAGTGCACTTTGTAAAAACAACATTGTGAAAGGGAATTGAGTGGCCCTTTAGTTATATTTAATTGACTAAAGAAAAAAAGAATAGATGGTTAGCTAGGCCACTTGAGTAAGATTTTGCAGAGAATAAGGATAAGAACTTGCTACATTGTAACTGCAAACTGCAGCCAACTGGTAGAAAGGAACTCACTGAAATATACTGGGCTTGCTTAAAACTTTGTTAATGAATAATAAAGGAATCATTGCTTTGAGGTAAAGATGTTATGGTGGAAAAAAAAAGAATGCAAAGGAAAATGTTTAACTATGTGTAGACTTCTAAGAAAAGCATGTAACTTGTGATTTCTTACTGTGTAAAGATTTGATTTGCCTTTGGAAAATATGTAATTTGTTATTGTGAGGTGATTTTTGTCTTGCATATAAAATTTTGTCTTAGGTGATATAAAAGAGAGAAGAGAAAAATGTAAACGCAGAATTAACTTTTTCTCCCTCAGATAAGTCTCGTGTGTGTGTGTGTGTGTGTGTGTGTGTGTGTGTGTGTGTGTGTGTAGTGGCCAACTGCACACCTTATCCCCTTCAGTTTCTCTGGCCTGCTGGAGCTGCTCCAGCAACCAGCGTGTGCCTCTTCTCCTCTTCTCCTATAGATAGATAGATATAAATAGAGAGGTGGGGTGTAGGGAGGGAGAGAGAGGGAAAAAAGGGGGGTAATTTGAATGTAATGGCCCCCTTAAGATCATAGGGAGTGGCACAATTAGGTGTGGCTCTGTTGGAGTGGGTATAGCCTTGGAGGAAGTGTGTCACTGTGGGTGCAGGCTTTGAGGTTTCCTGTTTTGGGATATTCCTTTATACTCTGTGAAGATGTGTCACTGTGATTGGTATAATAAAAAGTAGCTAGGCAGGAGGTATAGCAGAAGTTTCTGGACAGAGAGCGCTCTGGGAAGAAACGTGGAGCTGCTAGCAGATGCAGTGGGAGTCGCCAGCCAGACATGGAATAATCAGGATGCACCTAATAGAGCCAAGGTAATGAATGCATGAAAAACATAGACTACAAGAATGTATTCATCTAAGTTACAAGAGATAGTGGTGCAAGCCTAAGCTAAGGCCAAGCACTCATAATTAATAAGTCTCTCTGTGTCTTTTGTGAACTGGTGGTCCAAAGAAAACTCCGTCTACAAATGGTGCTCAATATCTGGCCATATAAATCCACAGGAGGCCTGAGAAAGGTAAAAGTTCGGAACACGGGTCAAATGTGGCTTCCTAGTGACTGAGTTCTCTTGCGTATGCCATCTGAGGGCTGGAACCATGCACCAAGGCCATGCACTAAGCTGAGATGACAGCTGACATAGCAGTTTAAGACAGTCCTTAGAAAAGGCTGCAGATGGGGCTAGAGAGATAACTCTGCGGTTTAGAGCACTGGCTGCTCTTCCAGGGGTCCTGAATTCAATTCCCAGCACCTACATAATGGTTCCCACCATCTGTAATGAGATCTGTTGCCCTCTTCTGGCCTGCAGGGACTCATGCAGGCAGACCACTGTATGCATAACAAGCAAATCTAAAAAGGAGAAGCAAAACAAAAGCAAAACTCTGCAGATGTTTAGTAAAGCTAGGTCCAGATACAAAAAACCTCTAAGAAGGTATAGTATGTTAAAAATGTGCTTAGATGCTAAAGGAAAAAAGAAAGAAAGAAAATAGGGACAGTAATAAAAAGTTTAAAAATAATAGTCTTTAAAAATAAAACATTTTAAAAATAGAGGAAAGCAAGAAAAAGAGATACCTTAATAGAGAGGGAGCCATTATATGTTTAAAGAAAAATCTGGCACTATGGAAATGTCCAGAGATCTACAAGGATGACCCCAAATAAGAATCTAAGCAATAGTTGAGAGGCTACCTTAAATGCCCTTCTCCTATAATGAGACTGATGACTACCTTAAATGTCATCCTAGAGCCTTCATCCAGTAGCTGAAAGAAGTAGAAGCAGACACCCACAGCTAAGCCTTGAGCTAAACTCCTGGAATCCAGTTGTAGAGAGGGAGGAATGATGAGCAAAGGGTCTGGAGAAACCCACAGAAACAGCTATTCTGAACAAGCGGGAGCTCATGAACCCCAGACTGACAGCTGGGAAACCAGCATAGGACAGAACCAGGCCCCCTGAACATGGGTGTCAAGTTAGGAGGCCTGGGCAGTCTATGGGGTCTCTGGTAGTGGAACAGTATTCCTAGTGTACAAATGGACTTTGGGAGCACATTCCCCATAGAGGGAAACTCAGCCTAGACACAAGGGGGTTGGGCTAGGCTCTGCCCCAAATAATGTGACAGACTTTGATGATACTCTATGGAAGGCATCACCCTCCCTAAGGAGTGGATGAAGGGTGGGGTAGGGAGGCTGGTGGGGCGCATGGGAGGATGAGAGAGGGAACTGGGATTGATATGTAAAATAAGATTGTTTCTAATGTAAATAAAAAAAAGCTACACAAAGATGGGAAATACACAGGCCATCATTATCCTGTATGGTGATTTATTGACTTTAAATATTTTTGAGTGCAAATGAACAGAGAACAGCTGCCGAGAGACATTAAATTGTGGAAGAGACTACCGAATTTAAACTAGCCTAGATAATTCAGAAATGCTCTAACCTTTTATGAGCAAAGGCGTTAGTACCGTGCTGGTGAAGCCCCAAAGACAGCTGACCAGACAACGGGGAGCTCTTGAACCCCAAACTGATGGCTGAGAGGCCAACAGGAAACCGATCCACACTCCCTGAATGTAGTGTTAGTGAGGAGGCCTTAGAGATCTCTGAGGCCTTGGGTAGTAGATCAGTGTTTACCACGGTGTACGAATGAACTTTGAGAGCCCATTCCACATGGAGGGATGCTCTCTCAGACTGGACACATAGGGAGGGGCCCAGGTCCTGCCCTGGATGAAATGACAGACTCTGGAGATTCTCCCCCAAGGAGGGCCTTACCCTCCCTGGGGAGTGATGTGGGGGTTAGGTGGGAGGCTGGGGGAGGGACAAGAGAGGAGGGGTGGGAGAGGGAGCTAGGACTGACATGTGAAACATGCATGCATGTTTCTACGACTTAATTTATTTTAATAAAAATTTTTTAAATGGAAATAAAAAATGTATTGCTTTAGGTAACAGACTGTGCTTGTTTCCACAGAAAACGAAAAGACTGGATTTCTTCAAGGTCAAAGAGGATCAGATTTGATCAGGGAGGGGGAGACCCCTGAAAATCCCGCCTATAGACATAAATAAGCCTAGAAAAGCTACAAGTGACATATATTTTACCTGCTCAACATTAAAAATAAAAAAGCTTTGAGTGGCATGTGCAGCACAGTCCATACTTGTGCTAATGTAGATTGTATGTTAACTTTGAAAATTTGTGTTTTCAGATCAAGGGGACCAGACACCAGTGAAAATGCATAGCCCAGGTGGTCTAGCCTCTCAGAACGTCTCTGTTGCAGTTTCCTCAAAGTTCTGCATCCAGAAGAGCTTCAAGGTTGTTGGCTGAGACAGTTCAGCCTCAGACTACTCCATCCAGACTTCAGATAGGCCCTACATTTTCCCATTATATGACTAAACAATGGCTAACTCTCCCAGGACTTGACCATTATCTTAAATCTCTTCGGGTTCTCTGAAGAGTCTGTTGGCCCTCAGACAACAAGAAGCAGTCTAGAGAACAGTACACCCACATTCCCAAGAGGTGGGGTGAGTGGCTTTTGGTCATTTAGTGGGCTATGGTCATTTGTCGTTATTGGAGGTTGGCTACAAATTGTTATTGGTAATGGTCAGGAAAAAAAGCTGAAAAAGCGTATTAGATTCAGGGATCTCATTCTGAAAAGGAAAGATACAGAAATGATAGGATAAGAGTATTGACTCTACTTTAAAAAATTACTTTTCATTTTACATACAAACCCCAGTTCTCGTTCCCTCCTTCTTGTGGCCCACCCCCTTTCTACCTCCCATCCACTCCTCAGAGGGGGTAAGGCCTTCCTTGGGGAGTCAACAAAGTCTGGCATATCAAGTTGAGGCAGGACCAAGCCCTTCACCATTGTATCAAGGCTGAGCAAGGTATCCCACCATAGAGACTGGGTTCCAAAAAGCCAGTTCATTCACCTGGGATAGTTCCTGGTGCTACTACCAGGGGCCCCCAAACAAATCAGGCCAAATAACTGTCACCCATATACAGAGTCCCATGCAGGCTCCCCAGATGTCAGTCCATAGTCCAAGCAGGATATTGTAGATGTTCTTAATGCTAAAGAAATGATAATAGAAAAACAGACACAGCATACTGATTTTTCAGACATGACCAATTTATTCAAGGAATTCAATTTTCACTTGTCAAAGTATATCCAGGACAGGGTTTGGGATAATTATGTCACCAGAAGCAATCACATTTTATACAGTTAATTGACCATGGGGTAGTATCTAGAGGAAAGGCCAAACTTAAAAGAAAAAATAAAAAGTGTGTGTGGGGTGGTAATTACAAAATCAGCAAAGGAACAACTACTAACTTATACTACTGAGGCATGAAGCATGCTAACACTAGTAGTGGCCCTTTCGTTCAATTCAACACACAATCTGGACTAATTTGTGCAAGACACTAGGTATTGGGAATATGGTGAAAACACACATACACACACACACACACACACACACAAAGACACACTCAATCTCCTTAGCCAGTGAACTAACAGCGTTTATGAAAGTGGTGTGGTGAGGCACAAAGTATTCTTTGAAGGCCATGTCTGGAGAACTGTCTTCCTAATGAAGTCCAGTTGACAATGGGGTCCACTTCAGTTTAGCGGAGTGGGTTGGCAGATCACAGCCTGCTGAGAAAACGTGGCATCTCTGCAACAAGAAACGGCTTATTTCTTCCATGGTTTTAAATATGTGAAAGTATTCAAAGGTAAAACACTGTAAATTCTCTCACTGTTAACCATTTAAGAAATGGAATAACAGGAAGTGAGAATGAAGAGAAGTCTAGAAGATCAGCAAGGTGACAGTTCTGGCGATGCAGCCCAGCTACTCCAGGCAGCACTGCGAAGGTGCACAAGTCCCAGCAGTGCCGTGTCTATCACTATAGTACCTCCCGTGAACTTCGTGTATTTCTTTCCTAGTCTAAAAACAATTAAAAAATGGAGGAAATGACTCTCCAGAATGACAAGTGTAACACTTGCTTTACACCTTAAAATAATTTAATTAAATATATGGACAAAACATCACAACCTTTGCTTTTGTACTTTACACAGGTACATCATATAATACTTTAGGGAATGATCACAATCATGGTATATAATCAGCTGTTTTAGCATTATTCATCATCCTTAATTTCAGTTTGCCTTATATTATCTCAGAAAATCATCTCATTTCTTCCATTAATTTACCACCCACCTCAAAAAATAGTAAAAAAAAAAAATGTCAATGCTAAGTCAGAATACATATACCTGCCAGGCTTTGATAAGATGAAAAAGAGCAATGTACACACATCAGCCCACAGTCATGTCACTGCAGAACTTCACTATGGTGAAGCAGCCCTCCACTGTGGCTGGTTAGTGTTAGAATCCTGCCCTCATTAAGAACTCTATTAAAATGTCACAACACACAGTATTACTTAACCAATAGACCACCAAAATGCTTCCACTAACAGCTATTCTTTTTAAACCAAAATTATCCCACAGGACTAGAAAAGATAAAGAAGTCCAAAATGATTTAAAAGTAAAATTTGTAAAATTCAATCTATCCTGGTCTTACATTTAATTAAGAACCAAATGATGGAACATCATTTCAGATTTATATACATCATGATCCAGTTCTTAGAAAAATGTACTTCAACTGCAAATGCTACATTATGCAAAAATAATTTGTTTTATTCAATTTAATGACTTTCCCCAACTCCAATATAAAAAATATTAAAAGAACTTAAAATTTAATGGGAAAAAGCCTTTTTCCCTATTTATTAAAAAATGTTTTGTATTAGTAACATACAATGCCCCATTTAAGGCACAACCTTTTTCTTAAGGAAAATCCCACAAATTAGGTTTTTTATTTTCTACAGTTATAGGACAGAGCCACTTTGCAGGTATATCGTTAAAAACATCTTAATCCAGACCTAAGTGAAAAACTACTACTGCTTCTATACAGTAATGATTTACAGCCAAGGTAGGTGGCTGCAGCTACACTAATCCCAACAGTTCTTGCTTTAACCTCCCAGGTTGTTCCAGAAAGGTCATCTTCAGCTATCACCAATCAAAAATGGACACCTTCTGTTTTGTATTAGCCCTCCACTGTCTGGGCTACCAGAGCACTACCACCTCCACAGCCAGGGTATTGTTAGGTACCTGAAATTAGCATCTAAAAGCAGGGTAGGGCAGGCAGGGCGAATGCTAGCCTCTCACCTTCACTGACCTCTCTCCTGAGCTTTGCATCTTCCTTCTCTTCTTAACCCTGACCCTACCTGTAATCCTCTGATGCAATCTTCAGAGCAGTCCAAAGCAACCCCAGGAAACAAAGAATCCACACAACTCTTATATAAACATAAATCTAGATGCTCTTGTCAGTCCATCATATATCGCTAATACCTCATTTTAGTGTTACAGTTAAAAAAACAAAAACAAAGACAACTTAAAATTGGGGAAAGGAATGACAAATAAGACTGTCATGTAGGGCCCTGTAAATTCAACTGAAAATGAAGGGGGAAATATGAGAATAAAAACCAACAGGAAAAGCAGGTTTCTTCAAGTCAGCTTACCTCCAATTCACTGGCATAGTCCAGGCTTACATAAAGATTATATAGAGATTGGTAGGAAGAAGTGCTTTGTAAAAACATGAGTATTGAGACAACACACAGGAACTTTATGGTTGTGAAGGTGATTTCCTTTACTTCTCATTGAATGTCAAAAATAATGGTAAACCAGATCTCTTCCAGGATTGACCACTCTCACTGTGAACTTTACGAAGTCTCAAGTCAGTGTTCAGTGGCCAATATAAAGAGGAATGAGTTTATAAAAGGATTTTGGGTTAAACATGGGGCAAGCTGAGGAAGTAGGTCAAGGGGAAAGAAAGATGGAGCAGGGCAGCAAAGGGACTGATGAGTGACCTAGGAGACAGCTGATGCCACTGAAGCACTGGAAGCGTCTGCTTCCACTAAAGGGAAAGCAGGTGAGTTTCCAAATGTAGACCTGCTTAGTTTGTTATGTTCAGAAATAAAACAACCCAATGTTAATTCTGATACTAAATACTCCACAGCTAGTACATTCTGGCACAATAATACCTCATAAATAAATATAAACACCGTTTTCCTTGTAATGTGTATTGGCTCTTAAAATTTTTATAAAATGGTCTATAAAAGTATGTAAAAATCATTAGTAACTAGACAACACCAACAAATTATACTTTCAACTCTCAGCCAACATCTCAGCATTGTTCATGAAATTAAAAACTAAAGCAATAGTGCTTGCTAACATGAACTAGTTCTGCTTCTACTAAATGATCAAAGTTTTCACACATTAAAACATTTCCAATTAAATCCCATTTCCTGTCTTGACACATTATAATGAAAAAAATGTCTCTATCACAGGACTGTCGTGAGTATCTGCTTCTGCCATCTCTCTGGAGAAAGCAGGGTTTTCTGTCTCTTGTCATATTTAGTAATTAAATTAGGTATCTGAAACTGTTTTCGAAACACCCAAGTCCTATTAAACAAATACCAAGTTTCCAACTTCCAAAACTTTGAATCTTCACTGCATGAAGGCTAATTTGTTACCAGAAGCTAAGTACAGGAGAAAGCACTGGTACTGTACTAAGGTTCAGTCCAGGACTGAGAAATGATGGCTTTTGGATCCAGTACGAATGTCTATCAGGCTAGCATGTCCACTCTGCTCAACTTTACCTCTAAAATAGGAAGATAAATAGAAAATTGCTCTAAGGTTACATTTTTAAGAAAACAAAATGTGAGAAATTCCTTATTAATAAGGACTTCAAAGCCACATGGAAAAACAGGACTATTTACATCGATTTTCTAGATCACAATAAGAAAAACCACTCACCAACAAATACAGCTCAGAAAGCAACATGACAAATGCTCCATCTCTTTTTCTAACCACATTCTGCCAACTAAATGGGAAAAAAATAATCAGTTTTCATTATAGTAATCTGAGAGGAAACTACAGGATTGTGTCACAAGTGATTCCTTTGAGAATTTGGTTATTTTAAGTCGATTAATAGCTAAAAAAAGGAACTGTGCCCATTCCTGATAATAACACAATGTTTAGATAAACCTGGTAAGGTTTAAAAAATTTCTAAAACAAAATTACTGAAAAAATAACTAAAACTAGTTATTCCATCTAATGTGAATTATTACAGAGTCACTTATATTCTTATATTGTTTTACAATATATTTTATCTCTAATGCGAAAATATACCAATCATGATGCTAATACTGAAACTTAAAACCAACTTTACAGGTAAAGACTAAATGCCAGTCAATAGAGAAAAGGGTGAATGAATGTACCTTCCAAGGGGAATGAAAATCAACAGCAACATGGCAGAAATGTTAAAACCACAGATACACTTTGACTGACCAAAGCAAAACACACATTCTTAAAAAATTCCAATTATAATGCAGTTCATCATTTGTCTATATCTTCTATCAGCTGGTGAATCTGTTAGTAAAACTTCAAAGAAAATAATCTACTTAAGCCTTTTCTACTAAATCCATAGAAATGGTAAATGAACAGAGTACTTGTTGACTATTAATGAATATGAGACTTCTTGTGCTTTCCATCTGAGGAGTAAATCACCAATGACTTTATTTTCAGTATGATACAACCTCAAAGTTACACTAAACATCCACACAAAATGAAGCCTTCCTCAAACCCAATTCTGTAAGAAAGTATCAACAGTGTAGACTGATCATTTGTAGTGTGAAAATTGTGACTCTTAACAGTGTAGACTGAGCTCTAGGTTTTAATCCACAAATATATATATACACATACATATATATATATATGTATATATATATGTGCCTTGTGTATGACAACTGTATGAAAATAGTCTCAAAAATAAAGACAATACTTGAGAAATGAAGCAACCTAATTTCCCTGATTTTGTATCCTAGTACAGGGAAAGTAAGTCTCGATGCTTCATAAATATTTCCTAAGTTCAAAATGGCCTTAACCATGCATAGTCTCCACCAGGCCTTTGAAGCTTCCAACAGTTCAGCTGAACAATTCACCTCTGGAAGAGTTGTACGCTGTGGTCAGGAAATGCTTATTGATGTCCTGCCTTTTCTATATCCGGGAGTTTTCTGACCAGAGCTTGGTGATTCATTTTGATGCTAGCAAGGAGTCCTCCTTCAATGCCATCAGACCCAGTGTAACTGATCTCTTCCCCACTCAGAGTGGTCATATGCCCCCCAAGGGCTTTTAAGATGGCATTGCCAGCACATATATCCCACTTTTTGATGTATGTCACATGAATATACAGATCTGCTTTTTCTTGACTCGTATCAGGCACATCCAAGAGTGCTAAAACTTTATAACCTAGAAGACAAAGAAAATTCAGGTCATTACTCAAATGACTTAATAAAAAGTGTGCAAAGTTTTCAAGAACACAGTTGAAGGAAACAGAAGTGAGATCTTCTCAAGCATTCCACACTGACTGCCGTTGCCTAAATCTAAAATCATCTCCTAACACAATCATGCTTACAAGCAATGACCTCAATATTATGCTCCATACAGCAACAGTACAGTCAAAATAAGCTTACTAATAAAGCTACTCTCAATTCTAGCAAGTCGGTCTATGACACCTAACTAAAGGAGTACTACTCTACTATCTCATCTAGAATCTAGTTCATTTCAACCCTTCTAGCTATTCTGGATGTTCACCTTTCCTAACCAAACCGACAAGCATCCTCTAAGGCAAAGTCTAGGAAATCAGACAGACACAACTGGAAAATTAAATACATCAGGGTGAAAAGTGTCACTTCAATTCCTTCTACCACACCACTGCTGAAAAGGTTTTAAAGACCACTGTTTTGATTTTAATTTACCTGAATTAAAAAAAAAATCTGACATGATAAACATTTATTAAATGGCCTTTTTAAGCCAAATCCAGCTTATGGTCTGCTCTTGTACACATCTCACAGTAATGGACATTTTTAAAGGTGGTTCATGCAAACAATAATATGCCAAAAGTACACATGGCTCACAATATCTGAACATTTACTACTGCCTGTTTTCAGAACTGTAGGCTCTGATTTAAAATCAGGTAGTAGAAGAGCAGGGGAAATATGTTAACATGGATGAGCACAATACTTTCTTGCTCATCCCAGACATATAAGTTGAAGAGTTCTGTGATCCAGGGATTAGGCATTCTAGCAATCCCTAGGATTATGCCTGACAGTTTCTTGCCGTAAGAAACATCTCAAGTCCTCCACCTTTCCTCCAGACAGGCCTACCATTAAACATATAAAACTATTAATTTAGAGTAAAGTCACATTAAGAGAGGCCCTGCTGGTGTATATTGGTGGCAGTATGCTTTCGAGGTAAGCTTATGAATAGCTACCATTAATGTAAGACATGGTTTCTGACATGGGCTATGGTAACTCAACCCTGACCTAGAGATGCCCCATAGGAGTCTGAGCCTGTCTTCAAAGTGCATCTCCTCTTTATTTTGTGCCCAAGTATGGGACAAACAATTTGGTCTCCTAAGAAATCTCTGCCCATGCTAGAACATACTATGGAACCACAAGATGGGGAGAGGAAGGGGGAACATACCAGCACCACCAGCTGGGATGATTGATGTCTGGTTTCCAAAAGTCTGAAGAGCAACCTGTTTTACCATCCCTGCATGAGAGCGAGACACAATGATTTTTGGGGTCTTCTCATTGTAGGAAGAACGGGCTTTCACATTTGAACCACCATCTACCATTGCCCAAGCTGAAAAGCAAACAGGATACTCATTAACAGCACTGAAGGTTTATAACTCCAAAGCATTATACAAATTACAATCTTCAGAACCAAGTGACTGGAAGAAGAAAGTCATTTTCCACAGATTTAGTCATTTTGCTCAAACAGATTGTTATTTTTTTGTTACTTAATTTTTCAAATAAGAAAACAGGCATGTAATTAAAACAAAGCTTCCAAGTGTCCAGTGTCCTTCACAATTAGAATGGCTATCAAATATTTGGCCTAAGAATTCTGGTACTCTCCCCATTCATTACCAAATAAGCCTCTACTGAGACCACCTTATAACTCAATTTCTAGCGATACGTTGTCTTCCCTCCTTTCAAAAATTTCACCTCAGTACAAACATCTTACACAACGAGGTCAACATCAAAGTCAGATTCAGGGAGCATATTCTGTGACTAGAACACAACTGTTTGGATAATTTGAGTTTCACAATTGATTTTCTTCTATGTCTACTTCTGATACACTCAGTTTCATTTTCTTGCATGCTGCTCATTCTCCCAGACAGCTTTAAGAACACAAAACAGTTAAAGAAATGAGTTAGGTTTACAGACTGTCTTATCAAGGACCAATGCCCTGGTGAGTTTTTCTGACATACTTGTGAAGAACTAATTGGCCCATCGGCATGTCTCTGGGGGCATTTTCTGGACTGATACTTAATATAGGTGGGTCCAACCTATGAGCAATACTATCCCTAGGCTGTATAAGGTAGCTGAACAACTGAAGAGATGGCTCAGTATTGAAGATTCTTCCAGAGGACCTGAGTTCTGTTCCCAGCATCCACGTCAGGGATCTTACAACAACCTTTAACTCCATCCCAGAGGATCCAATCATCTCTACTAAACATTGTGGGCACCTCTGCACATGTGGCATACCCTCACAAAAGACACACTCAGATACATAAATAACATTTTAAGAAAGGTAGCTGAATGTGGGAGCCTGGGAGCAAAGGCAGAAAACAGCCTTCCTCTGTAGATTTTGCTTCAACTCCTGCCGTGGCTTTCCTTGATAATGGACTACACTTTCCAAGATGAAATCAACTCTTTCCTTCCCACATTACTTCTGGTCATGGTGTTTTTCTCAGTAACAGAAAGCAAAGTAGAACAGAGCATAAAATTACAGAGTCAGTTTGGTGTGGTGGCTCATACCTATAATCCCAGCATTCGAGAGGCAGAAGTAGGAGGACTGATATGAATTAAGGCTACTGCAGGATGCATAATGAATTCCAAGTCACCCTGGCATAGAGTGTGAGACACCCATCTCAAAAAGAATGAGTCAAGGAAACAAAGAAACTAAGGAATGGGTGGTGGTGTGGATGGAAGCTTTGTAAGGAGGAAAGGGTTTCCAGGGATAGCTTGAAATACATGTCTAGGAGTTTCCTCACTCTGGTGGAAACAATGAAAGAAAGCAAACAGTCAGAAGTAAACAAGTTAGATCGCTATTCTAATATTCACTCACTATGGCATAACATGGTTGGCAATGAATGTAGTTTATTTGTAGCTACAGGAAAAGAAAAAAAAGGAGAGTCTGAGTTTCTGAGTCACTATGGATAACAGCCATTTAAAACTATACACAACCACAAGGAAAGTGAATCTCCAGAGTAAGTAGGAAAGAGAGGAGACACAAATCCAAACAGATGACAAGGCAAAGAAACAAACACAGCAGATCAGCAGAACAACTGCAAATGTGACCTCAGTGTGTCTATGACAGCAGAAGCTTCAGAGAAGGACCATGAGGTTGGCCAAGCCTCAATGATAGGAGAACTCAGCTAATAGCAGCCAAGGCTCCTTGTTGACCCAAAATTGGTCAGTAAAACACTTAGAAGAAAAGGTTCAGGAAAGACATGGAAACAAAGAGGGTGAGAGGAAAACAGCTTTGGCATTTGGAAAAGCAGGTAGAATTGTAAGAAGGCAGTGTCGTTCCTTCTGGGAAGCAGACAAAAAACAAAACAAAACAAACAAACAAACAAAAAAAACAATGCCTCCCATGACACAGGAGAGAACAAGAAGCTACCAGCAGCATCCCATCAACACACTGGAAAACTAGGTGTCCTAGGAAGAAGCAGCCTGCTCTCTGCAGCAAGGGATGACATCAGCTAACAAGTGCTGGAAGCTGCTGTTCCCCATGAAAAGAACAGAAGGCAACAGCTTAGTGGCTGGAAGAAATCTACCTACTTGACAGGACCTTGCTTCAAGTAAGCATTTGTAAATCCATTTCGGGAACACTCAGCAAAATGGAAATGCTGAATGCCATGGGGAATAATGGTTAGCAGAGGCAAAATATAGTAGTTGTAACTTTGAAGTACTTACCACTTTGTGTCTGAAATTATTTATGAACTTTTAAAAGGTGAAAAAAATCCCCAAATTCTTTAAATTCTTTTCTAATTAGCCTTTGCTAACTGTTGTTTTATTAAGGAGTGAACTTACAATGGTCTAGCACTAGGGGTCAGTATTGCATAGGAGACTGGCAATTACTAAATCAGTATTTACAAGACACTTCCTATTAAATATGCAATCCATTAATTTATAGCACTTTACATGACAAATATTTTCCAAAGTTCTATCTTTAAATTATGAGTAAGTCTGTATGTGGGTCTGTAAACAGGAGCACAGATGCTAGGAGGCCAGGATAGGGTACAGATCCCCTGGAACAGGAGTTTCAACATGGATGTTGAGAACTGAAACTTGGGCCCTCTGCAAGAAGAGTAAACAGGTGCTCCTTAACAGGGAACCATCACTTTAGCTCCAATGGACAGATTTAAATTAGATTTAGGTGATAAGGCAAAAGAGCAGCTACATAATGTGTTTATTTTATGATAAGTAAAGAAAAGCCCTGTAGGGCCAACAGTGAGCCTATAATCTCCTGGTACCTAACTCATGAAGCCTAAGGCAGCACAATGTCTCTTGCTACTCTGATTGCATTACTTAGATTTAGCTACACAGAATGTAAATCTGCTTGTTGTGTTTCAGCAAGTAGCAAGTAGGTGTGGTCCAGTGATTAGAAAACCTAATGCCTGTTTTTGCTGTTTTCATTTTATAAGGTATACTGATATATATAGTTATGCAACCCCACAATATAATCTTGAATATTTTGGTTTTTAACATATTTTTATTATTTCAGTTATTTTATACATGCATACAATGTTTTTATTTTTAATTATAATAGCTGTAAGAAACTAATACACAAATTTGAGGATGACACTATATTAACCACAATGCATGGTCATAGTTTCTCAGTGCTGGCAATGTGGACACTGTCAGAACTAATAGTCTTGTCGTCTTAGAGAACTGTGGTGCCAAGGGCCATAATATTTATCCTATGAGTTGATGGAAATGAACCATTAAAGAATGACAAATCCTTACAGGCAATCAGTAATAATATTTATACTAACTACTCTTCCTCAACAGCAGTGGAAACTTGTGCTGTCATGGCAACACAAGACAACTGCCCCTACATTAGAAGACCAGAGGCAGTCTTACCGAGTGGGTAACTGCAGTGTACTATCCTCCCTGATGAAGGGACTCTAGACAGCTCAAGCACGACAAGCATGACTCTTGGCTCTGGCAAGTCTTGCCATTCCCATCCCCACCCCCTTTTTCCCTCTGCCTTGCTAGAAACTGTTAGATTACATTCCTAAAGCTGGCCATCTGGTACTATGTCCTTATTTGGCATTTCCTTCTCTGAGGCTGACTACCATGCCAGCCATCAAAGTACTGAAGTCCAACAATCAAAAGACTCCTTTGGCTCACCTAGTTACCATGCTAATTAAGATTAAACACCCAATTCTAACATAGGGTTTCTCCTGTCATTTGCTTATGAGCCCGTCTCTCTCTTCTCTAACCAGACATAACCAACAAATACCCCTTCCCTCTCTCCTTTGTTCTCTTCTATCTCCTTGTCCTCTATCTTTTGTCTTTGTCTCTTAACTCCTCCCCTTGGACCTTTCAGGCAAATAAATCTCCTCTATGCTGAGAACCTGGTTTTGGGGTATCTCGAGCAAACTTCAAGGTTCCCTAGATCTGCATCCACTGACTTTGGCAGGGGTGCAAGCAAAGGCCATAAGAAGTTCCTTGACATGGTCATCCATGTCTTCTCACAACAGTCGTCACTTTTGACGTGTATTTTATGGGAAACTAACAATCACAACTGTATGAAGCAAGGCCCCTAAGGATCTTTAAATACAACAGATTTGGCTAGAACAACTGTACAGCTTTCCATCAGAATCCAGTGTAAGAACTCCAGGCCTCACCTCCAATTCACCAGCAAAGAAACACAAGACACCTTGCTGGGTAAAGTTTCTACTTTCTACCTAATAGTATTTCCAACAGATATATACATACATACATACATACATATATATATATATATATATATATATACATACATATATATATATGTATATATATATTTTTTTTTAGAAAACTGTGTTTTACCACATACTATCAGTATCAATCATAAAGTGAAGTAGTGTACAAGGATGGGGACAGACTTCAATTACTTAAATCCTAGAATAATGGTTAAGTACTACAGACAAATTGTTCCTCTCAAAGGTGCTCATGCATACTTTATACCTGTATATTGAGAGAACGGCTTATGAATAACTCCTAGCACAGGTTTGCCATTCACAGCTACACACACCATGGTAGTGACATACTTTCGAAGATCCTCTAGGAGAAAGCACAAAGGCATAGTTGTTAAAGTATTGTGTTTAATTTCAGTACACAATAAGATACTCACTTCATCAGAATTATGTGTGAAATACCTTTCAAAAGCAAAACTACCCTAAACAGGATGAAAGGTGTTAGTAGGGTTATTCACTCAGTCCATCATTTTAGTAACTCCATTTCTTGGGATAAATTAAAGTCAAACTTAGCTTCCTAATCAGTGTAGTACAGATAACAAATATCCATCTTTAGATATAAATGAAAGTATTTTCTAATTTTATAATCAAATTAAAAAATCAAGTTAGAAGTTTCAAATTGTGTTATACAAAATCATATGCTCACTCATTATTATGTATGCAGGCCAGTTCATTTCAGAAAACTTCTTTTTGCAAACAAGTAACACTCTGTTTTTACTATTTACTCATATAAATCAGTTTTGTACTTTGTTATTAAATATATATGCCTGTGTTCTGTCTTCTTAACAGTAATAATCTATGGAGTACATATTATGGTTCAAGTTGAATACACAGAATGCCAAAGTGAAAAAGCAGAGACTCACATACTCTGGGGGTCCTGTCTTAAAGTGGATCAGAAAAACTAAATTTAGCATATACCAGGGAAGGGTAAATTAGGAATTAGATACCACTGCATAAGAAAGAGCCAGAGAAAGGACCACAGAGATGAAACTTGAGTTGGGCAAGAACGTACGTGTGTGTGTGTGTTTGGGGATTGATGGGTGTAATCTTGTTTGGTTACTTTTCTCTTTCTGGCTCCATAAAAATTACTACTTTGAATTCTTATATCAGATGTGTATACAATAAAACCTGAATTCTTAATACCCAAAGTAAATATTATATTGTGGCTAATAATTTTCCTTAGCACTAGGTGTCTAGCAGTATGTTGGTATCACTGAACAAGCTAATGCTAGTTAGAGGAATAACTATGGTATGGGAAACAAGAGAGAGAATCATCCACCTAGTCTAAATGGTTCATATAACACCTTAGTAACCTAGCCTGCCTGTCTGGAAATCTAACTGGATTCTTAAAATCTAACTGGAAAAGTTCTTGGATTTGTAAAGTGTCTGCCACCAAGTATACACTATTTGCCTTGGTCTTCCTTCTCCAGTGTAAAATGACAATTTAACATTTGATACTCACCCGTGTATTCCTGTGTAGCATCAAGTGGGTCAATCCAGACAGTCACACTTTCTGCAGGTACCTCCTTAGGAGTAGTTATTTCCTTCAGGATGTCCTCAGGGATCTTATGATTCCATATAATGACCTCCTTGTCAGATGCATCCACATGTTCCTCAGTATTTATCTATAGTGGAAATAGTTGGTGTCACAAAGGAGAAAGTCATTATTATTTAATAAATTTCAAAAATGCATCTCAGATAACACATCAATTCTCATTAATGAAAGTCTTAAAATATCTTAAGGAATTCAATGTAAAATAAAAAAGCATCATTTAAAAAATTGCAGTGACATTTTATCTTCAAATACTTTCTAAGTTTAGTGTTTTGGTTAACGATGACTGAGACTCCAAACACAGACAGGGTTCTAATATCAATTAAGAAATCACACATCAAAGAAGTTAGTTACTCAAAGCTAAACCAAGAACAAAAGTTCCAAGTGTACAACGTTGTGGCTGTCTATAGTCCAGTGCTGGGGACCCTAATGGGGAGGAGGATGCTGTAGGCCTCCCTTAGCCTATATTATGGGGCTCATTTTTTATTTATTGTATTTAATTAACATTTTTTTCATTTATTTTACATACTGGCCACAGTTTCGCTCCCTCCCCTCCTCCTTGTTCCATGTCCTCCAATCCTATCTAACTCCATCCCTATCCTCTCCTCTGTCTCCATTCAGAAAGGGGAAGGCTTCCCACAGGCTTGACCAAAGCACTGTACATCATGTTGAGGTAGGACAGAGCTCCTCTCTCTGCATCAAGGTTCCCAAAAGCCAGCTAAGTCCCAGGGACAGGTCCTGATCCCACAAACAGACCAAGCCAGACAACTGTCACACACATGCAGAGGCCTAGATCAGATGGGACTCATTTTAAGATATAGTTAACAAAATTCAAAGTCTGAAAATAGATATTTTCTAAAATATTGGAAATAAGCAAATGTAATTAGAAATAATAACAATGTAGTTATACAAAGGATGTGTCTTAAAAACAGAATTTGAGTGCTAAGGGATAAAATGGCTAAGAGAATTGGTTGTCTAAAATGTACCTTTAAGCAGTAAGCTAAATGTACCTTTAGCCAGGTGGTGGTGCACGCCTTTAATCCCAACACTCGGGAGGCAGAGACTAGTTTGAAGCTCGCCTGGTCTACTGAGCCAGTTCCAGAACAGCCAACCAACCAACCAACCAACCACCCAAATGTGCCTTTAGCTCACTAAATAGATAAGCTAGCACATTACAAAACCTAAATAAAATTGAAATAAGCAACCAAAAAGGACATAAAAAATGAAAGTCTAGCTGTAAATATATATATCTTTGATGTATCAGAGTAAAGGAAAAATTTCTATCTTTTTATTCATAAAAGGAAAACATTGAAACATAAATCTAATTTATCATAAATACATACCAATATATTTTTATTTCATGTATATGGATGTTTTGCCTACACAAATGTCTGTGTTATCACATGTGCTTAGTGTCCTGGTGGCCAGAAGATGGTGTAGAACCCCCATGAACTGGGCTTACAGATGGTTTGTGAGCTGTCATGTGGATGCTAGGAACTGAACCTGTATTCTCTCTAAGAGCAGCAAGTACTTTTAACTGCTGAGCCATCTCTCCAGTCCCCAACAAACAAGATTTTAGAGCTAGTTCTTTCCATTAACCATCATATGTATGGATACATGCAGGACTATGCATAGTAAGAATTCTGTTGAGAAAAGGACACTGCAAATTTCTTTAAATTGGCATTTTCTACCATGGCACCCTGACTATTTTGAGTGAATAAATTTGTTAGGAAACTACCCATCTTGTGCACTGTAGGCTATTTTGCAGCAGCCCTGGCAAGATGCCTATAAAACCTTCCAAGGTGTATTCCTTAGTTGTGAGAACCAAAAATGTCTCCAGATTTTGCCAAAAAATAGAACTCTATCCTGCCCACACAGGATCACTGCATTAAATAGTGAGCTTATAACTGTAAACACTGTCAAAGCCCACGGCTAAGCAGCCTGTAGGCCCTGAAGGAGGACTCATTGATGTTATTGTTCTGGATTATGCTATCAAATTGTCTTCTAAATTCGTATGTATTTGTGCTTATCTCCATATATGTAAGTATACCACATGTGTGCCCACAGAGGCCAAAGGAATTCAATTCTCTGGAACTGGAGTGAGACAGTTGTGAGCAGCCACGTTGATGCTGGGACCTGAATCTGGGTCTTGTACAATAGAATCAACTGCTCTTAAACACAGAAACATCTTGCTAAACCCTAAATATTTATATTTATACCCACAGATTTTTGCTGCTCCCACTTTGGTCAGAGAAACTTTTTACAGCAGTGCAGCAGGGACACAATGTTGTTCAAAGTGCAGAGAGAAAGTGATGTGAGTGTTCAGTCACATATGAGGCGTCTCTATCAGCCCTGCCCCACCAAGGCTCAGAGAACATCTAGAAAGAGGAGGCAGAAAGAATGCAAGATCTGCAGGATGGAGAGGATGCTGGGAAATGCTGTCTTATGACATGTCTGTTCACATATGAACTCACAGCAGCGGTGGTCATTTACACAAGCCTGACACAAGATTAAGCTATTTAAAAATTCCACAAAAGGACCTATTCATAGCTGAGGAACTACTGGTAGTTGGTGGCTCCTGGGGTGATGGGTGAGTTATCTTTTCTTTGGAGTATAGTCACTGGAAGCATATCTATGCCCCAGTAGAAGACCCCATGACATGCACATGGGAAGTACTACTTTGAATTACTAAGTTAAGATACAGTTGTAAAAGGGTACAAAGTTGGAAGAACAATGTGATGGGAGGGTTCTGGGAAGAGCTGGACTGGGGTAGTGAGAGGTGGATATGATTGAGATATACTATATACATTGATGAAATCGTCAGAGAATAAAAATATAAAACTAGTGGATTTATTAATGCCTACTTTAATTGTTGTGTTATTTGTATAAACTAATGATCAAAAATGTTTAGTAAAGCAAATTAAATAACTCATCTGCAATTTATAGCTCCCTGGTACCCATGCTAGGCAGGAGACAGTTGTATCCCTCGATTTTTGTGAAAGAAGGAAGGCTTAAAGAACCATAGAATACAGTATTCTGCTCAGTGGTGGTAGCACATGCCTTTAATCCCAGCACTGGGGAGACTGGATCTGTGAGTTCAAGGCTAGCCTAGTCTGCAAAGAGAGTTACAGGGCAGTCAGAGCTGTTACACAGAGAAACCCCATCTTGAAAACACATATACACACACAAAACCAACAACAACAAAAAACAATCAGCTGGGTGATGGTTGTGCATGCCTTTAACCTCAGCACTCGGGAGGCAGAGGCAGATATGGATCTTTGTGAGTTTAAGGAGAGCCTGGTTTACAGAGCCAGGATAGGTTCCAAAGCTACAGAGAAACCCTGTCACAAAAAGCTGAAAAAATAAAAAATAAAAAACCAACAACAATAACAAAAAGGAACCATGGAATTCTAAGATTTCATTGAGTTTTGGCTCACCATAAACAAAGCTAAAATGGATAAACTGGTAGTTGTCAGGGAGCAGAGAAATAAACAGACTATTATTATAAAGACAGAGAAAACATTCTGAAACTGAATGACAGTTCCACAACCTGCAAGGACTGAATTATATACGTGAAGTGGACAAATTTCATGACATACGAACTATGCTGCAATAGTTACTTATAAACAAACTTGGATTAGCTAGAGAAGCCTGAAAGATGGTATTAGAGTTAAGACCTAGAAGAGAACACAGTAGGCTTTAGAGGAAATGTCTTCTAGCCCCTGTGATAACAAATGTAGAACCTGAAATGAAGATCATGTCTAGTTCATTCCTGGGCAGTTGGGATATGGTAATGACTGCGGTGAAAGACACTGGGCATGAGGTCAGAGTAATGGAAGCCATGGCTACATGGCTACAGGGTACAACACAAAGCCAACAATGCACAGAGGATGGAAGAGTGGGAGATAAAAAATTAGAATGGGCCTAACAAACCACGATTTGCAACTGATGACTAAGCAATGAGACAACACATAAGAACTTGAAAAAAAATCCATTTATCAAGTGTAAGATAAATACCTATCATCAACTACATTTTGATATACTAGCAAACATTTAATTTTCTTTGCTTCACAATGACTCCTGAAATTCTTGCCTTCAGTGTTCAAATCAAGGACCCCAGTTCCACCTAAGGAGAGGTCTCTGAAAATAATTTCTCAGGCTACCACAGGCTGTAGCCTACGGTCTTCCTTCCACTGTCACTGACAGGGTCAGTCCAGGCTATCACAGGCTGTGGCCTAGGGCTCTGAATCCCACTGCAACTGACAAGATCAGCCCGTAAGTTTTGAAGATTCTACCTCCTAATTTTACATCAACATGTCTACCAAGAAAATACTTGCTAAGCCACCAAGATCATTTTCTCAGTTGATTCCTGTGATAGCCTTTACACTTCTCCTATGTTCTATATTACATTTACACTCATTTATTCAACAAGTATTTAATGACTTTCATACTCTAAGTCATTTTAGCTACTGAAATAGAATGCATAAAAGAGACAAAAATTATTTCTTTATTTATTTTCTCTTTCATATATTATATCCTGATCGCAGTTTTCCTTCCCTCCAGTCCTCTTGGTCCTCCCCCATGCCCCAGATCTGTTGCTCCTCCATTTCCCTTCAGAAAAGATCAGGTTTCTCAGGGATATAAACAGAACAAAGCATAACAAGATGTAATAAGGACAGAGACAAACCCTTATATCAAAGCTGGACGATGTAGCCCAGTAAGAGGTAAAGGGGTCCAAGAATAGGCAAAAGAGTCAGAGACAGGGCTGGAGAGATGGCCCATCAATTTAGAGCACTGGCTACTCTTCCATGTTCTGAGTTCAATTCCCAGCAACCAGGCAGTGGCTAACAACCATCTATAGTGGGATCTGATGCCATCTTCTGGCATAAAGTCATACATGCAGATAGAGTATTCACATGAAATAAAATAAATAAATCCCCACTCCCACTGTTAGGTGTTCCATAAGAACATCAATCTACACAACCACAACATATATACAGAGGACCTAGTGCAGACCTATACAGACTTGTAATTGTCACTTCAGTCTCTGTAAGTCCCTATGAGCCCTGCTTA